AGCTGAGAGGTAAGGAAACCGAATGGACTCCTTGGAATGCGAGCAGCTGAGGCCAAGATGGCTGGAACTGGGGGTGACGTCTATGAGGAAGGCAAGTATCTCCATCAAACCCCTCCCCAGGAACGCTGTAACTGCTACCCACCTGCAAAGCTGCAGGGGCTTATTCCATCTGCTTTTGGAAGGAAAGCAATTTGCTTTTTATCTTCTGAAGTAATGTGCACATCAGGACCGCTAACCTTTGGATTTTGCCTACCTCTGAATTTTGACATTCCATTCTTGGATTTAAAAAAAAGCAGCCAAATGCACAGAAGTTTGCATTTTATGAGAACGTATGTTCAGAAATGCATTTTTAAATATTTACCGTTGTGTGGATTTTCTAAATTGCAGATTAATGCAAAAACAAGAAGGGATCTTTGAACTCAAGTTTAACTGAGAGAGGCTGGAAATTGACTTTATCTTTCCAGCTCTTTATTGGCAAATTTGCTCTTCCTTATCATAATTGACTGGGTAGCAAGGACCGTCCTGATAGCCCGGCCAGGACTGCCATTGCTGACTGGAAGGGCAGGAAGTTCTCTGAGGAGGGCACGCTCTTTCTCCTGTGCACACTGAACCCGAGGAGCAATCAGGAAGATCTTGTGAGAATCTAGAACTGGCTCCCCATTGAAGTCCGGGCCCAATTCATGGTGTTGGTTATCACCTACAAAGCCCTGAACGGCTTGGGACCCGGATACCTAAAGGAGCGCCTGCGTCTATATATGCCCAGCCGCCCCTTGAGATCTGCGGGAGAGGCCCTTCTCCGGGAGCCCTCCGTGAAGGATATTAGGAGGGTGAGTACTCGGAGGAGGGCTTTCTCTGCGGTGGCGCCCCGTCTATGGAATGCGCTCCCCAGAGAGGTCCGCCTGGCGCTGTCGTTATTTGTTTTTCGGCGCCAGGCCAAGACCTTTTTATTTAAACGCTGTTTTAACTGTTAATGGTTTACTTGTTGATTTTAAATTGACCAGGCTGTTTCCACTATTTTATTTCATGTATTTTATTTACTTGATGATTTTTTTGTATTTTATATGGGATTTTAATGATTGTAAGCCGCCCCGAGGCTCATGTGATGGGGCGGCATATAAGTTGCCTAAACAAACAAACAAATAAATAAATAAGATCCCTGATGTAAGCATAATTTTTACAATTCAAAATGCATTTATGAATCACCCTGTATTATAAAAGCCTCTTTGGGAATGTTTTGTGGACAAATGTTAGAAAATGGTTTTATGACACAGATGCCCGAATTCAGAATCTAACCGTTCATATTCTCACCTCCCTGCCAGGAGTTGCCCTGGTGCAGAGGAACAGCCATGCGTGCCCCAAGAAAGCACTGACTGCCAGTTTTCCAAGCCTGCGTTTAGAGCTGTGGGAGATTCTGTATTACATCTGAATCATCCAGGGCTGGGATGCTGAGGGCCACTCCTTGGAACAAGGCTACAGGCTCTCTCAACATCTGGAGACTTTGGCTCTTTGTTCCGCTGGACATTTTGGATTTTCCCCAGTTTCGTTTGATGCCAGCTACACACTACCTCTCTCCCAACTCAGAGAAGATTAACAGCATTTTACAGTCAACAGCGAAGAAGCTGAAATTGTGAAGCATTTTGCACACCTTGGCTAAATCATCAATTCAAATGCAGGCGTGAAATCAGGAGGAGGAGATGATTTGGAAGGGCAGCAATGAAAGAACTAGAACAAAATTATCCAATACAAGGAAGTTTCCCATCTGACCAAGGGCCAGGCCAGCACAACTGCATTCGTGGCCTCTTTGAACGGGCATGAAAGACTGACAGTGATGAAAGCGGAGAGGAAGACAACCGTGTGTTTGAAACATGGTGCTGGAAGAGAACTTTGCCATCGCCAGTGCTTTTTTTGTCACAGAACACAGCGGAACGGAGTTCCGGCACCCTTTTTTGACAGATTTTCCAAGTTTTAAAAGTAACTTTTGAAAATTTGATGTTTGGTCCACGTGGATTTGAATCGCCCTGTCGAGCGTAGCAGGTCGGCGGCAAAATCATTAAAACGGTGCGTGCGGGCTGCTTGTGTGTCGAGTCCGATGCATGCGTACTTCGTCCACCCTGGTTGTGATGGTGCTGCTCAGCTTGTGGCACTGCTTGGCTTGTGATTGGTTGTGTGGTTGCGCGCCGAGTGATTACTGCGGGCGGTGACCATTATGTTTCGTTACACAACTGATGTGTGTGTGGGGGTGTGTACAGTGATTGACTATGCACAAAAGGTAAATAATTTCATGAGTTCCGGCACCCTTTTTCTTACAAAAAAAGCACTGGCAATCGCCTTGGACCAACAGAAAGATGACGAAGTGGGACCTAGATCAAATCGACCCAGAGCCTTCCCCAGAAGCAAAAATGACAAAACAGAAGCTGCTGTTCTTTGGGAACAACCCGGGAAGGCAAGTATTGCTGGAGGAGGCAATCATGCCAGAGGAAGCATGAAAGAGGAAAAGGAAGCCCAGCTCTGAGAGGGATCGATTCCAGAGAGGAAGTCACAGCCTCGAGTTTATAAGAGCTGAGCAGGGCTGTGAAGGAGAGGGACTTTCGGGGGCTATGCCTTCCTAGGCTCACCGTAGGTCAGAGGTGACTTGATGGAAGGTAAAAGCGAGCAAGAAACACATATACCACCTCCGATGTCACAGGAGCTACGCCTGGGGAAGATGGGCAGGGGAGCCTGCTGCCCTTGGGTCTCCCTGCCTGCAAGTGTCTTGGGGCAGCTGGGCTGCCCACAGTATAGCTGAATCCTGGACTAGCTCTGCCTTTCATTGTCTGTCCTAAGGGTGGCCCACATGGGCCAAAAGAACAAATTCAGTGTCGCAGAGACTTCCTTATCCCTTGACCTGTTCATTCCCTTCTCCTTGATGGAACAACCATTTTTTTCATCACCCCTTGATTAACATTCAATAGGATGATCTGAAACAAGATAATTTTTATTTTTTTGGATGGGGGGCGGGGGGCAAAATACCCCTTGCAGCACTCCACTGGCTCAGCGCGAGCCCAGAGAAGTTTCTGCAGATATTTATAGTGGGAGAATGACTGCAGCTCCGAATTAAACTATTTATGTTACTTAATATGTAGGAAGCTTTGGAGCCACTTCATGATATATAATCTTGATGTGATGCCTTTGCAGTTTCTCTGGGGATCACTTTACTTTTAATAAAACTTATAAACCAGGGGGAAAACACTGCCGTTAATGCTTAACAATGTAAGAGGGTCTCCCAGGAATGGACAAAGTTGACATTTGGGTTTTCCTTTCTTGTGACTCTGGGGAAACAAAGATATGTTTATTGGGTTTTTAAATAAATGCCAGAGCTGCAGGGAAAGCTAATTTCATTTAATGTACTATAATGAGTTCTGTAGCAAGGCTTTGTTGCAACAAGGAGGAAAATAAATGGCACAGCCTTGTGGGAGGTTGCACAGCACCTGTAGTCCACTTTGCACGGAGAAGGTCACTGGTTCCATTCCCAGTATCTCCAGTTTAAAAAGATGGGCTGCCAAGTAAAGAGAACGGAAGGTTCCAGAGAGCTGAAAACAGCAGGTTAGATTGGGCTCCTCAGTAGGGCTGGGGGGAACATTTGGAACCTCGAAACGGTTGTGGGTGCTCTCACAAAATGGCTGCTGAGGAGATGAGACCTGCCCATTTATAACCCAGCTGCCATAGCGGACGTAACAGGTGGCAAAATGTGCATTTCCCAGAGGGCAAATGGATGAGAAAGAAAGCCAACTTGCTCCAGTATCTATGTACAGAGCAGAGGCGAATTCTGGTTCCAAGTCATGAAACCACACTGTGAACCAAAGCAAGCATGGCACTGAAGTACAGAACTTCATCTCGCAACATGTCAGCACCCCAGGAGAAAGTAACTCTTAAAACATCCAAGCATTAAAATAAGAATCAAGTTGCCTTGAATCTACTATGAGCAACAGCACCTTTGTCGTACCGTGCTGTTGCCTCCAAGTTATGGCGACCCATGAAGGAAAGTCCCAGAGTTTTCTTTCCGGGACAGCCCTGCTCAGCTCTTCCAAGTTCAAGGCTGAGCTAGCTTCCTTTGGGGAGTCCATCCAGCTCTCACTTGGCCTCCCATTTCTTCGCCTGCCTCTGACTGCACTTACTGATACAGGATGGCAGTCTTCCCAACCCAGCGCCCTCCCTCCATAGCCATCGGCCACGCTGGCTGAGGATTGTGGGAGTTCTAGTCCAACCCATCTGGGAAGCAGTGCCTGGGCTGCAGCCCTGCATGTGGGCATGCAGCTCCTTCTTTGATGTCGTGCCTGAGGATTTCATGGATTGGGCCCTCATCAGATGTTTAAACACCAAGTCCTCTGAAGGCCAATTAGCGGCAAGATAAGACACTCTATAAATCAATAAAATAAATGCGGAGCTGCCATCAGCAATAGCTTAATGATTCCTCTGACATGCTCTTTGGTCATGGACTTTGCCGTTGGCTTTCATGTAAAATAATCCAGCATTCTCCAAGTTCCTTCTCCTCCCACAGAACATTTTTGCTTTGGGTACAGAAGCATTAATGCCCTTTCACTCGCTGATCCTCTCACATCCGCCTTTACAATAATCTTTAAGAAACACACAAGCTTCTCTTTGTGCAGGTTCCTATTTGGGTTTCCCTGGCAGTGTGTCTTGGATTATTGGTGGAGTTTATGGGTAAACACGGCTACGTACTTGCCAGGGAGTATGCTCACGTTGAGGAGAACTTGACCCAGACTGCAGCGTACCTACACAGAGTTGCATCCTGAGAAGCTACAACTCTTAACTGGACAATCACGTGCCTTACTGGCCAACTCCTTTGCAAAATTGTCTTTCGGACTTGTAATGCTTTCCCTGTAGTTTCTATTTTAGGTTGTATTCTGTCAATTGCTGGACACTGCCCAGAGTGCTTTGGATATCGGGCTGTAGAGAGAACAGTCTTGCATGTGGCATGCATGTCAGGGAAAGAAAGGTACCTTTAGGGTCAGCCTGACCACGTTGCATCCTTGTAGAGGGTTGAGTTTCAGCATTTCACCAAGGCTGCAGCCAGAGGTCTGATGTTGTAGCTCACAGCAGACGCAGACGCTGTCGCTGTCAAATTTGATCTGAGAAAGTAAAAGAGGGAGGGAGGGAGAGAGGGAGGGGTAAAAGGGGAAAGAGGGAGTGAAAACGCATTAGATTTTGCGGATGGGTCAAAGTTTTCACAGCCTTGTTGGGCCCACAAAGCAAAAAAGCGCAACTCATCCAAGATCATGCTGTTAACTGGACAGATAATGTGTAAAGTTCTAAAATAAATTTTTCGAGGCGTGAAGAAGAGCCCTGCTGCTTCAGACCCCGAGGCCTGCCTCTCCAGGGAGATCATGCATCCTTTCTACAGAGAACCATCCTCTGCTTGAAGGGTTTCTTTGGCGGCTGTGCTGTGCATTTCTGATTTAAAGCTCATGAGAAGATGCATGTGTTTGCCCACCAGCAGCATCTGATGGTGGACTGAAGGCCAGTGTATGCACAATCATCCACCAGAGTCTTGTGCACTAAGATGGGATGTAGCACCTTCCTATTTAAATCGTGGTCATTAGACAAATAAATTAGCAAAGGGACGTCTAATGCAAAATCGGTCTTTCCTTCCAGCCTCATTGTGAGTCATGCAATCCCTCTTTGCAGCAAGTTTTGAGCAGCCACCATGGTCTTTTCTTTTGGGGTTGGAGATGGAACCAAATACGGGAGGGACCAGAGAAAAGGTAGATGGACATGGACCAAGTGGACGGACAAGGTGGGCCAAGGTCTACAGGAGAGTTGCCCACAGTCGTCGTCCAGCCCTTGGGCAAAGACTTTGGGCTCCCCACCTCTTGTCTATGTAGTCCAGCAGCTGGTCACCCCGATGCCTCTAGCAGGCCAACAAGCAAGCATCCTTCCTTGGTTCTGCTCCCAGCAACTGGCATTTAATGCCATATTACCCATGTTCCCCAGCAACTGCATTCAGAGCTGTTGTGCCTCGGATACTGGAGGACTTGCTGTATATGGCAGTCTTACTTAGCATAGTTCCATGGAATGAGTGGGACTGCAACACAACAGGACTAACACTCGATCCCTATCAGGACTCGCACCCATTGATAGCTTCCCCCTCTGGAAGCAGAGGAGAAATAAATGCATGCTACCAACACAGTTAAATTTTCACAATCGGCACTACAAGACCACGCAATGGCCGTTCCACCATGGAATGATGCCACAATGGCCATCACTGAGTTGCAACATGAGCGGTGGAAAGCAGTCTGTATATTCAAATCCTCCGCACACAACAAGACTTGAGAATTCTCAGGTGCACAGCAGGATGAATCGCCACAACCTTCCAGGAAACCTCTTGTTAGCCATATTTCTGGGCTAAAATGAACATAAAATGGATCCCACGCCTTAAAACTCCCTAGTTCTAAAACCGGCTTTTGCATTCTAATCTATCATCACGAAGATTTTCACTTAGCATCTGAAAACACACATATGTGTTTCAAGAGAGCAGCCACCGCAAACCCTTTGGAAATATTTAGCCGTTCTTCAGGAACGACTCCTCCCTTCAATCCCTCCCATAAAAATGAATAAACCTGACAGAAATATGTCAAGTGAAGATGAGTGCTTATTTGATTTGTGCATTGAGACCACTGCTCTTGCTAGCATTTATGAACAACAAAATGAGATTTGGCTTATTGGCTTGGCTTGTTTTATTTCCGTACTTCTATTTTAGGAAGCACACAGAAGGGATGAGGCTGGGATGTTTTTATCAGGTTTTTCACTTGGCAGTTTTAAAAAGATGTAATCTGCACACAAGCAGATTGTGGGGGGCACTTTTCATGGCTGGGGAGGTCCAGATGGCAGGGGACAAGTTGATAAGCTGAGAACAGAGCCTAGCTCAAGCCTGGCCCCCACTTGCAGGCAAAGGCCGAGGAGCTTTCCAGGGGCTGCCATCTTTCTGCCCCGCTCCATATGCTGCCCCCCTCATAATTATGCTCCTTGGTGACAGAGTCATTCTAAAGAGAACTGTGGGGAGAAGAGATGGGACAAAGCCACAGTTGGTACAAGATTCCCTCCATCTTGGGGTGCCCTCATGCCCTAATTTACAGACAACGGCCCTCTGTTTGAAGGGCCATCAAAACACACCCTCTGTTTTGCTGGGCTACCCCGTACAAGTCAGGTCAAAGGTAAAGAACCCTAATAAAAAGGTGTAGGAGGGCTTGAAGTTGACCCTGGGCAGTGACCTGTGGAAGCCCACAAAAAAATTGAGACAGCATGTCGAGTCACCTTTGCTAAGCTGGAAAGGTGCGGGCCTCTAGCTGGATGGGTGACCGCGAGTTGGAGCCGAGCAGGGGACTGGAGTCAAGGGGCTTACAGGCTCCTTCCAACTCTCTCCCATTCCATTCCAGTAATAGCAATGGTTCCTACAGCTCTTCCATGCATACAAGTCGGCACATAAACAGGGTACACTGGTCCTCACTGGTCCTGAGTTTCGGGAAGGTGTTCTTCCGCTCCTCTGGAGACACAGAAGCAAGCCTCTACTCCCGTTGGCTTCCCTGCCCAAATTCAGGCCAGAGGCCACAGGCGCACTGACTGTCTGGCGCAATGAGAAAACTGCCATGATCCATGTCCAAGGGAGGGGCCACATCCCGTGAATGCACAAACCTTATTTATCTGCAGCGTTTATGGTCAAGAGATGGCTGCAGCCCCAAACGAACCTCACGGCTGTCTGACAAAACTGGAACGATTCAGCTCTTCCAGATTTCCCCATTTGGATGCCTCCAGATGTGCTGGGAAAAGAAGGAAATTGGGATCTCACTGACCTGGAAGCGACCAGGTTGAGGGAAGCTGCCATGACCTCTGACCTGTCCCAGAAAACCCGGATCACCTTCCCACATTCTACTACCTCTGTGCAAGGATCCAACGTCAAAAGCAAAGGGGCCTGCCCTTCCCATTTAAACCCTGAAGGGATTTGAAGAGGCTGGATATAATTTGGGGACAGTTTTATCTTCTTCAAATCCCCTCTCCCCACAAAAGGAGCCAAACCCCATTTTGTTCAGGTGTGAGCTCTTGCTTGCAAACCCGTCTTTATAATTAGGAAGCGCAGGGGGCGGCTGCTCTGGGGGAAGTGCAGCTTGCCAACGTTGTCGTGACGCTGGCGACAGCTTTCGGTGACGGATGAAAGCCTTCCCAGGAAACCGAAGAGCAGCTAAGCAAATAGATGCACGAATAAATAAGCAAGTGAAACCTCGGCAGACTTTCAAGGCGTTCCTTCGACACGTTCCCTGTTTGCTCACTAACAGCCCAGGGTGCCCTCCAGGCCGTGTACGGATCTGTGGCTACAGGCAGAGAAGAAAGTGATGGCATCCTCAGCTCTATTTTTAGCTCCGGGTCTGGCCGACTGTGGTACGTGGGTCCAGCACGACACCTGACTTGTCCCCCACAAAATCGTTTTGCCTATAAAATCACCCCCCTTTCCTGCAGAGGGGCACCATTAGTTTTAATGAATAAGTATCTGGCAATTATCAACTGAGGGCAGGGGAAGGGGAGAGGGGGTAGAAATAACCAGTCCTACTAAATAAGATGCCTCCCTCTATGCTTTACGTTTTAGGGGCATGCAATTACGTGGAAATGGTAGGATTCCCTGCAGTGAAACAACATAATTTTAGGCTCTGGACTTGGTGGTTTTATGGGGCAAGGGGCTTTAGAGGTGCATGTTATTTCAGTTGTGAAGCACATCTTCCCTTCCCTCCCCTTTCCCCTTTTTCCCCTCCCCTCCTCTCCTCTCCTCTCCTCCCCATATCTTTCCCCTTCCCTTCCCTTCCCTTCCCTTCCCTTCCCTTCCCTTCCCTTCCCAGCCTTTACAACTGCTTTTGCATTCCTGATACATGTTGAAGCAAAACCAAAACCCAGAAACAACCCCCCACAAAAAGCCCAGCTTGCCCCACAAAGAAGAAATGCTCCCAATGTATATAATTTTGCATTTTAGACCCATTGAAATCATAGCAACATCAAGACTGAAGAAACACAACGGAATCTCCTTCTGTTTCCCAGATGCTAAATGGCTTTGAGAACAAAGCAACCTTCGGGGGTGGAAAAGGCCAGTGCTACTTTAAGAATAAAAATAAGAAAACAACTTTGCATGTGCCCCATGGCTGGGCCAGGAGTATAAAAGGTTTTTGACAAATTGGGCATCTTTCACTCCCACAATCCTGGCAGGTTCATAATGCAAGCCGGGCACTCTGTGTGCTGTTCCCCAAGGGTTCCCTGTGGACTGCTGTGCCAGGTCACTGGGCATCCATCAGTTGACCCCAAAAGCCCAACTTGGATCCCGACTGAAACCCATATAATTTGGCTTAATAATTTGGGTTGTGAAGACACATGATTTAGATTGTGGGCCTGCTTTTGGGCCATCTGGGAGGGCAGGAAACTCCTCCAGAATCCAGGAACATCAGACTCACCACTCTGGCAGCGCAAAAAGTGGAATATAAACAGAACCAAGAGACACAGCTGCTTGGGACCCGATCCTTACAATGGCTCGCCAGTCCCAAAAGCTTAACAGTCACCATTCTGCAGAAGAAAGTTCCCGCATCTCCGGCACAAATGGCCATCCAGGCAGCCTCACCGTGGGCAGGCAATTTGTGCAAAAATATGCCTCCTAGACATACGACGAGAATGATTTAGACACAGGAAGCAGAGCACTTCATCAGTTGAACCAAACCCCACCAAAGAAGCTCAGTTCTGCCTCTCCACAGCCAGGAAATTGATTTTACCACTGGAAAACAACAACATTTTGAGGTGCAGATTTTAAGAAGTCATCCTTCATAACTTAAAAGGCATGGCAAACAAAAGAGATGAGAAAGGGAAAGGAAAAAATCTAAGAAAATATTTGGGAAGTTTCTTTCATGTCTTGGATTCTTTGATGACAGCGGGATGGCCAGCAAAGCACAAATGGACTTTGTGGTTTGTAACAGACACATAAAAGCCAAAATGGATGTGAGCGGACCTCCTAACAGGATAGTATTAAACTATTCATATCAAACAACACAGATTCTGAAATGTCCTCTCCACACACACACACACACACACACACTGCAATGATAAA